GAACCTGAGAAATAAAAATGGGAGGAGAAGAGGAACACGCTGGAGTAAAGTAAAGGGTGAAGAATCAGTGAGCTGGGGCATTACTTGGAAATGTGGTTGAGTAGGTTCAGCTGGGAGGGCCTCGGAATAGAACGGATTTTTAAAGTCATTTTGTATGCGGTGAGAGGTCAGAATGATTAAAAACTGGCACATCATCTAACAAAGCCAGGCAGGCCTCGAAAGACATCTGCATAGAGACAAAAATTGTTCCCATTAAGTTACAGTTAAAATCTTAATAAAATGTTTGAGATGCCAGAGTAAACTGCATGTTTATATTTGTATCTATTATCACCTATTTGAACACTAAATACAGAGCCACATTTTACCGTTGAGCCTCTTTGTCCTTGCAGACTGGTTTACTGCCACGGTTAGAGCCAGCCAACAGATAAAGTCTAGACGCCTGTGAAAAGTTCACTACAGGTCGCTGACTGAAAATGAAACCTGATCTCTCCAGCTTCTCTTTCTGCTGCTCTGCTCTGTTAACGCTGCCTCTCTGCCTCTGCTCATTTTTCACTCATAAATAGAAAATAGATGTTAAACTCTGAGCATGCATGAAGCTGAATGAGTGAATTATAATTGTGCAACTGTAAAAAGAAATAACGTCTTCGTGGCCCTTGGTCTTTTCTGTATTTCATCACATCTACAAACTTTGATGTATTTTGTTGAGGATTTGTATCATAAAGCAACACAAAGAAGTTCAGAGCATTCAAGTGAAAGGAAATTGCTGCATGATTTAAATATTTTCTTAAACATCAAAATATAAAACAACAAAGTGTATAATCCATTTATATGCACACCTACATCTTATACTTTTACTTATTCATCGGTGCAGAATAACTCAATATGAGTCAGATTGGATGTAGAGCTGTATTAAATCTCAATTTTCTAGTTCTGACACAAATTCCCAAATTGATTCAGGTCTGGGCTTTGTCTTAGCTGGTTATAATCCTGAATGTTTTTTTTGTTTGTTTGTTTGTTTTTGTTTTATCTAAGCTATTGCATTGCAGCTTTGTCAGTATACTTTGGGTTGGGGTCATGAGAAGAGAAACATCCATCCCTGGTCCCAGACCTTTTGCAGGTTCCAACTGTTTTTTTTCCCAGCATTGCCCTTTGTGCACTATTTCACAATACAAGTCACTCTGTCTGTTCAAACACGGTGGACTACAAGTTTGGTTTTATATGTTGACTTAAAGCATGGCTGAATGTTTTTGGCCTAATGTGCAGTCCCAGATGTGGTTGACTGACAGGATCTCTTGATTCCCCTGGAGATAGTGTCTGTATCACATCACCACGCCCCCCCCACCACCACCCCTTCTGGTTACATCACTGCGTGGATGGCCCTAAGCTCATCAACACACTCGAGCACACGCACTCTCATATGCAAGCCTGTGTTGACTTCCAGGCTCAAAAGGGTAGTAGTAAAGGGTTATAGACTATACTCTCATGTCACATCTTTCTTTCTTTTTTTTCAGTTGTGACTGTACATGAGAGAATTGCGCTTTACAAAGGAAAGAGACTCATCAGGAGTAAACGCTGTGATTTGTTCCCTTGTGCAACCTTGGTTATTGCTGGTCTTGCTCTTTTGATCCCCGTTGGCATGACTTAGTGACTCTAGCGCCGCTCCCTCTCTCTTGTGGAGAGATTAATAATTCCTTTCCTGTCTTTTATTTTCAGCAATTTTCTCGGCTTATCTACTGTCACACAGAAAGCACAAGGATCTAGCCATGATAAACATCCCTTCTCCTGCTGTGTTTCGGAGCCAGCAATATTTTCCTCCGGTCTCAAGTGTCCTTTGAATCATGGGAACAACACAGAAGCACTTGCACACTTGTTGCTTTCACAACTGGTTGTTCATCTCATCTTTTCCCGTAACACAGAGAGAAATGTTGCTGTGGCAGCTGCCTTCAACATTTGGCAGGCTGCTGTTAGATAACTGCAAGGTTGCGCTTCTCTTTTATTGCCTCTTCTGTCTCCCTGTACTACGTGCCTCCAAATGTGTCACAGCCACACAGGTGCCAAAGGAAAGGGGATATTTATAACTCCCTAAGTCATATTAAGGCAACACGCCTGAAAGCACGCCTTTCATTAACTCTTTCCCTCCTTTCCAGATAGATATGTATGTTATCTTCACATCCTCGTGGAGGTGACTTGACACCCCTTGGAAGGAAGTCTGTCAACCCAAATGTACCTCAAGTGTTAACATGGAGAGCTTTCTGGTCTTTAAGTAAAAAGAGCAACACCGACTTTTGCAGATAGAATGGAAATACCTTTCATGCTGGAATACCAGGTCATGCCTGGATAGCAGGACACATGGTTCACATGTCTGATGAGTAGTGGCCATTTTTAGCTACTGGTGTCTGTCTCTGCTGGGCTGGACTGAGGGATTGTGCTGGCATCTGCATCAATGTAATAACAAGCAAAGGCCTTTATGAATGTTTCAGTTGCTCTATTTATGGGGTCCCGCTGTGGCTCTTGGAACGACTTGCAGTGACTAGATGACTGCAGACTTTGAAAGTGTTTGTGGGGTGACGTTTTTCTTTTTCAGTTTTTTTTTTTTGGCAGTCATTAAGTGTATTCCTTCAGGAAGTCTTTAAATGGGCAGTATTAGTGAGTGTTTGGACATGTTAGAAATGTTCGTAAGCTGTTTAATGTTAAGGGGATTTTGATAAGCTCTTCATGGTGTTTGTTCAGTTTAAAAGAGGAAGTCGGCCGAGCTGTACATAACTGCTTCCTCCTTGGGCTGAAGTTAAGCTGACAGGTGGACACTCATGTATTCACAATTTATTTTTTATTTTTACCCTTCAATATGTGAGAAACTGGGCCAATTTTTTGAGTAAAGAAAAAAAAGCGTTAGAACATCCTTTTCCCCATTTTGTTAAAGATTTATTATTTTTCTTTTGTTTGACTTAATCTTTAGCCCCTTCTCCACGGGTGTGTCTTTAACCAGTTCTTCCCTGGTCAGCCCTGGCCAGATTTGACTCCATTCATTAATCCTGTGCAGTTCCTCCATGTTTCTTGCAACCACTTCAGAAATGGTACAACATTCAAAATTTGGTTTTAACCCTGCTTGCCCAGTTAGAGTCCGACTTGCAGTGGAAATGTTCTCCTGGATACTCCAAAAGTGAACCCATCCATTTTCTTACACCCTTATCCCATTGGGGTCGGGACGGGTGCTGGTGCCTATCTGCAGCTGTCAACAGGCGAGAGGAGGGGTACACTCTGGACAGGTCGCCAGTCCATCGCAGGGCACAAAAGTGAACCACACCGACGTTTATCACACTGCATAGTGGAAATGATGCATAATTGTCCAGACAGCTTTTTTTTTTTGTCTTTTTGTCTCATTTTCAGAGACACAAAATGTTGGGTTTTCTGTACTTGGAAGTGGTAATCATTAAAGTGGCAAATAATAATAATAATAATAAAAATGAAATGGCTTAATAAAAGCTTAAAATGTTTTGCTTTGTGAAATTAATCTCTATAAAATGACCGTTTAACTTTCTGAGATGACTGGCAAGAAATATTGCACTTTTACACGATATTGATTGTTTTTTTTAGATATGCATACTAATCATGGATTTCATTATAATCCTATCATTTATTTCAGTCATTAATTTCTATACATTTATCTGACCCAGTAGTTAAAAATATGGTGTCCAGTAAGTTCACATCTTTCTCATGGGCATGTTTTCATTTGTCTATATTCTTTAGGATAAAGTCTAGTAGTAGGTTTTTTTCCTCCTCATTTTCATATGACTTGTTAATTATCATATGTCACAGTGGTTCTAGTTAGTTGTATGCAAACAAATTTATAGAGAAAATGGTTCTTTAGAAATCTTAGCACTTTGTTTTGAACTTTGTAAAACTTAACTAGTGGTTCCCTACATCAAGAACTTACGGTGGATCGGAGTTTCTCAATTCTTATTTTGCAACTTTGAGAGCAACTATTAGTTTTCAAAGTTGCCATGCTTCTATTGCTAAGGACCTTGACCGCTTAAGATAAGAAACGGACATCTGTAGTGTTGTATTTTGCTAGGCAAAGTTAGATATTCTAACATTGTGCTTAGACTAAAGTGAAAATCCTCCTAGCATATCCAAAGGGTGGCAAACTGGGTGCAGATGGCACAAGGGAAGCTGAGGACAGTGACCTCCAGGGAAGTCTCTCTTTGTCTGTTCATCCATCTCTCTCTCTCTCTCTTTGTGTTGGTACAGAAATTTCCAACACAAAGGAAATTTGTGTTGGAGTACCGAGTATGCCAGGAGGTGGGCACACATACACACACACGCACTCACGCACAAACACACACAGAAACACACTTTGTAGAAAAGAAGCCACAAATAGACACTCTCATACTTTCTGAGAATGTCCCACATTCTTTTCAGATGAAATTAGTCATACAATATAAAAACCAGCACTATTCCTTTACTGTTGCAACTAAAGCTTCATTATTAATAAAAAACAAACAAGCAAAAAACCCAAATGTTCCTTTATTTCCTCTCAAAGCACATTCACGCAAAGTAGCATGGAAAAATGTCTAAAACTCCACATCATTTACAACACGGCAAACTTATAATAAATATGTACAATACTTCATAAATTCATCTCAAATAATTTAGAAACCCAACTCTACATTAAAGTCCTAATGAACGCAGACAGGTACAGTGTGCGTTCATTCTGTGGTCTGTTACTCAGTCTGTGAGAGGGAACCATGTGTTCTGTTGTGGGGTTTGGCAGAGGTCTCTACACTGGACAATGGAGCACTGCGAGCTTCAACTATGCATTCCCTTGGCTGGGACTAGGGCGAGAGTTACTGCTCCCAGTGCCCCTTGCCGTCACTTAAAAAATGCATCGTCACTCCATTTGTGATACTTTCTCAAACTTGACATTCATTTCCATGCATATTGGATTAACCCATTTTCTCGTTTTTTTTTTTTTTTTGCTGTCTTGTTCTCATGTTCCCTAGGGCCCTCTCCATGGATATAGACACAGACTATGAGCGGCCCAATGTGGAAACCATTAAATGTGTGGTGGTGGGGGACAATGCAGTAGGCAAGACCAGGCTAATCTGTGCCCGGGCCTGCAATGCCACACTCACACAGTATCAGCTGCTTGCCACCCACGTGCCAACCGTCTGGGCCATCGACCAGTACCGAGTATGCCAGGAGGTGGGCACACATACACACACACGCACTCATGCACAAACACACACAGAAACACTCTTTGTAGAAAAGAAGCCACAAATAGACAAACCCTTTTAGCATTTTCCTGCAACTAATTCTCTTTCTTTCTAATTTTTTTTTTTTTTTTTTTTTGCTACATAAAACATTTAACTTTAAATGCCACTGTACGTCATGTAGTTTAATCCTGGGGTTATTCCTTTTAAAGCCAGATAACTAATTGTTCCTTTAATCCCACGAAAACACAAATTTTGCAAATAAACGTGAAACGTTTGATCTGATGACAATGACATGTCTACATTGTAGGTGCTGGAGAGATCTCGGGACGTGGTGGATGAGGTCAGTGTGTCCCTGAGGCTTTGGGACACATTTGGGGATCATCACAAAGACAGGCGATTTGCCTACGGCAGGTGAGAGTGCACATGAACGCCAAGCCTTAAGCTGTCCACCAGCCTGAACGTACTGACCTAATAACACATCTGATGCTGGACAACAAGGTTAATTACCTGGAAATATTTTCATGTAGCCAAGAGATATATAAGATAGAAATGTCTCGTTTGTTTTTTTAAAATATTGTTTTATATATTTATACATTCACTGCCGGATGGATCTAATAAAACGTATTTGACTAGATCTGGAAGTTAGAAACTTCTGATTAGAATTGAACAGACTTTTCATAATCAAAAATTGATGTACAAGCATGCAAGTAAATCTCAAAACAGAACATCACCAAATAGCTGTTTTATTTTAGTATAGAAATTAACATTCTGTGTTCTCATATGCATCAAGAATGTGCACATTTCTATTGATGTGATTATGACATGCAATTTGTGTAGACAAAAAAATAGAACATAGCAGAGGTTCGGTCAGAAAAGGATGTTAAATGGAAAACACAATTGTGGTAATCTTGCATTTGAGTTCTGGGAATTTAATCATTTTTCATTTTCAGTAATATTCAAATTTATTGAAAAAACTGCTTACATATTTGTTGTGTAATCCGACAGTTTTTTCTCTTTTGCATTGGACATCCCTTTCAAGCTGTTACATCCTTCCTCCACAGGAGACGATCGGATGATCCCTGTATCCTCTTGTTAGTCGTTCTCTCGTCAAAGCTGCTTTATTGGCATGAAATGCAGAAGGATTTATTGCTAAAATACAATCAGGAAATGCCACATATCACAGCAAAGTCGCCATGTTTTAACCACAAAACCTCCAAACATTAAAAAAAACTTAATAATACACATTATATAACTATTAACTTTTTTTAGTGAGTACACTGTAGAGAAAAGATTTGACCTTTTTCCAGAAAGCAACTTGGTTTTATTTAAGATATTTGTTCTTGCATACAGTTTCATATAATAGGTTCTTTCACCAACCAACACAAAGACCCCATAATTTTCCCATAAATTTAAGTAGGACGTGTCAAGGTTGTTCGGAGGGACCTTGCATAAGGTGTCACCTTGTTTCCTTTTATATAAAGGGTTTGTACGTGACGCACTTCACTTATGCTTTTGTCAGCCGCATGGAGGTTAGTTTAAGGTTCAAATTTTTACCCCTTTGTTGTGTTTACCCACTGTTTAAATGTCTGTACATTCGCCTGGGGATCTGCTACTGTTTGTGTGTGTATGTTTGTTTGCGCGTGCTTGTGTGTGTGCACATCTATCCACACTGTGAGTCTGGAGTCAGCTGATTAGAAACACAGTGCCAGCTCAGCTGGTTTTACCCAGCATTAAAACAACATCAAGCATTCTTCCTTAACCATCGTCCTTTTGTGTTCCCAACTCTGTTTGTCCCCCTGTTTATCTGAGCCAACTCCCTTTCCTGTGTGCTTACCGCCCGTACTCCTTCATTAATAAGTCTAACCTCTCCATACGGTTGGCATGTAGCTGCTCTTTGACCCTCCTCACACCTGGCAAGGTTTTTGTTGACAGAAAACTTAGAACATCACACCGTCACATGTCTTGTTACAAGGAGTTCAGGAAAACGGGTAGCTACTGGAAAATAGATTAAGCCCAATGTAACTTGAGTCAGCCTNTTTTTTTTAGATATGCATACTAATCATGGATTTCATTATAATCCTATCATTTATTTCAGTCATTAATTTCTATACATTTATCTGACCCAGTAGTTAAAAATATGGTGTCCAGTAAGTTCACATCTTTCTCATGGGCATGTTTTCATTTGTCTATATTCTTTAGGATAAAGTCTAGTAGTAGGTTTTTTTCCTCCTCATTTTCATATGACTTGTTAATTATCATATGTCACAGTGGTTCTAGTTAGTTGTATGCAAACAAATTTATAGAGAAAATGGTTCTTTAGAAATCTTAGCACTTTGTTTTGAACTTTGTAAAACTTAACTAGTGGTTCCCTACATCAAGAACTTACGGTGGATCGGAGTTTCTCAATTCTTATTTTGCAACTTTGAGAGCAACTATTAGTTTTCAAAGTTGCCATGCTTCTATTGCTAAGGACCTTGACCGCTTAAGATAAGAAACGGACATCTGTAGTGTTGTATTTTGCTAGGCAAAGTTAGATATTCTAACATTGTGCTTAGACTAAAGTGAAAATCCTCCTAGCATATCCAAAGGGTGGCAAACTGGGTGCAGATGGCACAAGGGAAGCTGAGGACAGTGACCTCCAGGGAAGTCTCTCTTTGTCTGTTCATCCATCTCTCTCTCTCTCTCTTTGTGTTGGTACAGAAATTTCCAACACAAAGGAAATTTGTGTTGGAGTACCGAGTATGCCAGGAGGTGGGCACACATACACACACACGCACTCACGCACAAACACACACAGAAACACACTTTGTAGAAAAGAAGCCACAAATAGACACTCTCATACTTTCTGAGAATGTCCCACATTCTTTTCAGATGAAATTAGTCATACAATATAAAAACCAGCACTATTCCTTTACTGTTGCAACTAAAGCTTCATTATTAATAAAAAACAAACAAGCAAAAAACCCAAATGTTCCTTTATTTCCTCTCAAAGCACATTCACGCAAAGTAGCATGGAAAAATGTCTAAAACTCCACATCATTTACAACACGGCAAACTTATAATAAATATGTACAATACTTCATAAATTCATCTCAAATAATTTAGAAACCCAACTCTACATTAAAGTCCTAATGAACGCAGACAGGTACAGTGTGCGTTCATTCTGTGGTCTGTTACTCAGTCTGTGAGAGGGAACCATGTGTTCTGTTGTGGGGTTTGGCAGAGGTCTCTACACTGGACAATGGAGCACTGCGAGCTTCAACTATGCATTCCCTTGGCTGGGACTAGGGCGAGAGTTACTGCTCCCAGTGCCCCTTGCCGTCACTTAAAAAATGCATCGTCACTCCATTTGTGATACTTTCTCAAACTTGACATTCATTTCCATGCATATTGGATTAACCCATTTTCTCGTTTTTTTTTTTTTTTTGCTGTCTTGTTCTCATGTTCCCTAGGGCCCTCTCCATGGATATAGACACAGACTATGAGCGGCCCAATGTGGAAACCATTAAATGTGTGGTGGTGGGGGACAATGCAGTAGGCAAGACCAGGCTAATCTGTGCCCGGGCCTGCAATGCCACACTCACACAGTATCAGCTGCTTGCCACCCACGTGCCAACCGTCTGGGCCATCGACCAGTACCGAGTATGCCAGGAGGTGGGCACACATACACACACACGCACTCATGCACAAACACACACAGAAACACTCTTTGTAGAAAAGAAGCCACAAATAGACAAACCCTTTTAGCATTTTCCTGCAACTAATTCTCTTTCTTTCTAATTTTTTTTTTTTTTTTTTTTTGCTACATAAAACATTTAACTTTAAATGCCACTGTACGTCATGTAGTTTAATCCTGGGGTTATTCCTTTTAAAGCCAGATAACTAATTGTTCCTTTAATCCCACGAAAACACAAATTTTGCAAATAAACGTGAAACGTTTGATCTGATGACAATGACATGTCTACATTGTAGGTGCTGGAGAGATCTCGGGACGTGGTGGATGAGGTCAGTGTGTCCCTGAGGCTTTGGGACACATTTGGGGATCATCACAAAGACAGGCGATTTGCCTACGGCAGGTGAGAGTGCACATGAACGCCAAGCCTTAAGCTGTCCACCAGCCTGAACGTACTGACCTAATAACACATCTGATGCTGGACAACAAGGTTAATTACCTGGAAATATTTTCATGTAGCCAAGAGATATATAAGATAGAAATGTCTCGTTTGTTTTTTTAAAATATTGTTTTATATATTTATACATTCACTGCCGGATGGATCTAATAAAACGTATTTGACTAGATCTGGAAGTTAGAAACTTCTGATTAGAATTGAACAGACTTTTCATAATCAAAAATTGATGTACAAGCATGCAAGTAAATCTCAAAACAGAACATCACCAAATAGCTGTTTTATTTTAGTATAGAAATTAACATTCTGTGTTCTCATATGCATCAAGAATGTGCACATTTCTATTGATGTGATTATGACATGCAATTTGTGTAGACAAAAAAATAGAACATAGCAGAGGTTCGGTCAGAAAAGGATGTTAAATGGAAAACACAATTGTGGTAATCTTGCATTTGAGTTCTGGGAATTTAATCATTTTTCATTTTCAGTAATATTCAAATTTATTGAAAAAACTGCTTACATATTTGTTGTGTAATCCGACAGTTTTTTCTCTTTTGCATTGGACATCCCTTTCAAGCTGTTACATCCTTCCTCCACAGGAGACGATCGGATGATCCCTGTATCCTCTTGTTAGTCGTTCTCTCGTCAAAGCTGCTTTATTGGCATGAAATGCAGAAGGATTTATTGCTAAAATACAATCAGGAAATGCCACATATCACAGCAAAGTCGCCATGTTTTAACCACAAAACCTCCAAACATTAAAAAAAACTTAATAATACACATTATATAACTATTAACTTTTTTTAGTGAGTACACTGTAGAGAAAAGATTTGACCTTTTTCCAGAAAGCAACTTGGTTTTATTTAAGATATTTGTTCTTGCATACAGTTTCATATAATAGGTTCTTTCACCAACCAACACAAAGACCCCATAATTTTCCCATAAATTTAAGTAGGACGTGTCAAGGTTGTTCGGAGGGACCTTGCATAAGGTGTCACCTTGTTTCCTTTTATATAAAGGGTTTGTACGTGACGCACTTCACTTATGCTTTTGTCAGCCGCATGGAGGTTAGTTTAAGGTTCAAATTTTTACCCCTTTGTTGTGTTTACCCACTGTTTAAATGTCTGTACATTCGCCTGGGGATCTGCTACTGTTTGTGTGTGTATGTTTGTTTGCGCGTGCTTGTGTGTGTGCACATCTATCCACACTGTGAGTCTGGAGTCAGCTGATTAGAAACACAGTGCCAGCTCAGCTGGTTTTACCCAGCATTAAAACAACATCAAGCATTCTTCCTTAACCATCGTCCTTTTGTGTTCCCAACTCTGTTTGTCCCCCTGTTTATCTGAGCCAACTCCCTTTCCTGTGTGCTTACCGCCCGTACTCCTTCATTAATAAGTCTAACCTCTCCATACGGTTGGCATGTAGCTGCTCTTTGACCCTCCTCACACCTGGCAAGGTTTTTGTTGACAGAAAACTTAGAACATCACACCGTCACATGTCTTGTTACAAGGAGTTCAGGAAAACGGGTAGCTACTGGAAAATAGATTAAGCCCAATGTAACTTGAGTCAGCCTGCCCCCTCTCCCCCCCCCCGTTTTTTTTTTTGCAATTTATCATTACAACTAATTGTCTTACAATAAGGAGATCAAGATAGATCATTTCAAGCAAACCTGTTATAAATTTCCGCATTTAATCTTCTTAAAAACACACCTGATTTAGGTTTTTCATTTACAGAGAAAGTGATGAACAACAAATAAAGTTCAGTTGTTCTCGTTTATTTTTGTGGCATTTTTTGACTTAAACAATTCACCTAAAGCTACAGTTGGCAGGGAGGCCACAAAGAATCAAAGAAATCTTATCATATAAAGTTATTTGTCAATAAAAAGATGCAAAAAAAAAAAAAAAAACATAAAATTGGAAATATATCATGATAAAAAAATATGAAACATGTGAAGCATTACTAAAACTGGATATTTCTCCATAATTGATAGAAAAATAAGACCTAAACTGGTCAGAGAGACAACAAAGAGCCTTGTTGCAACAATACAATCTGAAATCTACATTTTATAAGCTAAGACCTTGTGGAAGAATGTTTTATGGTCTGATGGAGCCACACTTAAATGTGGTGGTGGCAGGATCATGTTCTAGGCTTAGTTTTCATCCCACTGAGTTTACATGAAGCTGCATCAAATCATGGATAGTTACAAGTCTATTTAGGCTGAAAACCCCCAGGTCTCTACAAAATGACAAATTTTAGTTTTCAGCATAATTTTCAGTCTAAGAATATGTCTTAAGACAAGAATAACTTGAGCATTGTTTCACCAGAGTTCAAGGGGCTGCGGATGAGGGAATTCCTTCAAGTCTTGAAGATGGAGCAGGCAAATATTATTAAGCCAGACAAAGTAGACTGTATTCTGAGACATAAATCTATACATGTACAATTGTGTGAGCTGCATCGTGTGCACCTGGCTAAGATGTAGTAATAATCCTTTGAAAAAGTGCTAATGGGAGCTTGCTTGACTGTGTGTGCGCGCATTGTGATTTAATTGCCTGCTGTGTTATATTATGTCCTTGGGAGCTTTTCCGAGATTATCCGACAAATAAAGAGGACTGTGGAATCAGAACAGCAAAAAATATCCCAGCTGATTACTTCCTAAGTCTACAGGGGCCATGCGAGCTTAGCAGTGGGACATCAGGTTCCTTTCATCTATGTGGTCAATCAGATTAATCTGTAAACGCCCTTCAAGAATTTTCCAAAATAGTTAAACAACAGTAAAACCACATTTCTTCAACAGCACATCCTTTGTTGTCTCATTAAACACTCCATAACTCCTGGCATGTAGGTATTTTGCCCAAGGAAATGAGGCATATTTTACTGTTTTATAATGTTGCTCTCAAGTTCAGTTGATGATTTACCTCACTTCCTCTGATAAGTACTGGATTCCTGGCAAATGTCAAAAACTGCAATATAGCCATATAATTTAATTGTCCCCAAGCCACAAATGATGATGAATGTAGCACAAGTTACATAAGTCTGAGTATTCTTTTGCTGCTGAGGCTAAGTCTTGTCCTATGCATTGTTGCAGAGGGTGAGGAGTTACAAATAGTTTTTTTTTTTTGTTTTTTTTTGCCTTTTCACCAAGAGTTAATGATCCACCCTTGACATTACCTGGAAGTAGGCAGACATGCACCATCTTGTGAGGATTAGCGATCTCCTGCTAAATGCGGTGATCTGCTTGCTCAGACAAATCTGGTGGATCTGTGTGAGAGTTTAAATCCAGAACTATTTTTAGACTCCTTTTTCTTGTTGCTTTCAAGGCCTTTTGGAGATTTACACAACAGAAAGAAAGAAAGAGGCTCAAGCCACACAAATAGTTGCGAGATCTACACTCCTCTTGTGAACCTCTCCACCATCTGCCACACACCACCTAGCTCTCGCATATGCTTCCTGCTCCCTTGATGCCTTGCAGAAGCTGAACAAGCTTCCTCCTTATGCACTTTGCATAAGTTTTAATGCAAGCTGACATCATGTTGCATGAGTCAGCAGTAGCTCTTTTTTTTATTTCTTCCTTTTCTGTTCCCATATATCCAAGACAGGGCCCAAATGCCCTGTCTTGACTGACATTCCCTGACAGAGCACCTCAGCCCACCTTTGCCTCTGACGTCTGTTATTTTGTTCGTACATAAAATGAAGTGTTTTCTCTCTCATCCTTTCCTGTAGGTCGGATGTAGTGGTACTCTGCTTCTCTCTGGCTAATCCCAACTCCCTGCGCCATGTTCGCACTATGTGGTTTCCGGAGATCAAGCACTTTTGTCCCCGAACACCCATCATCCTGGTCGGCTGCCAGCTGGATCTGCGCTACGCTGACCTAGATGCAGTTAACCGTGCGAGACGGCCGTTAGCAAAGTGAGATTCATTCCTCATTAAGCATTAACATTCTTTCTGAGACACAACCTGCAAGAATGTTGCTTTACTACCTTGCTTGCAAATTGCAAGGTATGTCTTATGGTGCAAAAAACTGGCTTGAGGGATTTAAGTGGGGCCTTTTTCAAGTAACAAACCTGTTGAAAATGATACTTCTCCTTAAGTTTGAGATAATATACATTTGATGTACCTTTGATGATGTATATTTTACAGGATAAATGTCACATTGTACGTTAAAATTGCATTAAATGATTTATCGATGAATGCAATTGATAAATTATATTAATTCATCAATTGTATCACAAAAACATTTAAATCAGAATGTGAACACTTTTGAGACCCAGTGTAACACAAACACAACAGGCAAGAAGCCAAATCATATGCAAAGAATTGCCAGTTTAGGACCAATGGAGCTTAGTTGACATGATAAGAGAAGAATATCAACAGTCCAAAAGTTGTTGGAATACAGCCACCCATAAAAACTGCTGTTACATCACTGTATTGACGTCACTCAGTGGTTTTGTTTCAGAAGTGAGGCATACGCTCCATGTAGGTACATAAGCTTGCTTATCTTTGCATGAATGGTTGTTGTTAATATATAATCTTGCCCTACCTGTTGATTGAACGTTTTCCTGTTTCACTCACAGACCCATCAAACCAACAGACATCCTCCCTCCAGAGAGAGGCCACGAGGTGGCAAAAGAACTTGGGGTTCCTTACTATGAGACGAGCATTGTTGCCCAGTTTGGAGTCAAAGATGTGTTTGACAACGCCATCCGTGCAGCCCTCATTTCCCGTCGGCACCTGCAGTTCTGGAAGTCCCACCTGAAAAAGGTCCAGAGACCGCTTCTCCAAGCACCCTTCCTACCTCCTCGACCACCACGCCCTATAGTGGGCATCCCCGACCCACCGGCCACAGACGGCGAAGGCCCTGACTCCCTTTTCTGTCATCCTCTTTGCGCAGATGTTCTTTTCCTTTTGCAAGGGGGCTCCACTCGTGTCTTTGCGCACAAAGTTTACCTGGCTACATCCTGCTCCAAGTTCTACGACCTTTTCACGCTTGATCTTGGTGGGTCGAGTTTTGGGGCAATGGGAGAGGAACAGGAGGGCAAGGAAAACACAGAGAGTGGGGAGGAAGATGAGCAGAGCAGGAGAGGAGCCAAAGAGCAAGCTGGGCGCACTAAGAGCCTGGACATTGATAAAGATGGAATAGATGGAGGAGTGCGGGGCCTGAACCGACCTCAGCTGCTCCAGCAGGGGTCTTTGAGGACTTCCCAGAGTGATAATGCACTCCCCTCTCGAGCCCAGTACTCAATGGGAGCAATGGGGACAGGTCGAGCCCTCTCTGGATGGGGAAGGGGGTTTCTCAGCGTGTGTCTGGAGCATGTTGATGATCCCATGACTGGACGACCTCGTCTGATGACTGTGGTTGCCATGGATGCACTTATTCAGGAGGAACCATTTAAGGTTATTCTAAATTGTTTACATTACTAGTGGTTAATAAAGGTTAATGCATGTTTTAGCTAAAAGAAGTACATTTTCACATAGGGTTAGTTTGATAGCTTTCCCCTCCCTTTGTCATGAAATGAAATGAAATGAAATCATTATTTGATTTAATTTCATCACAATTTTTTTTTTACTGGGAACACCTAGCGAGCACAAAACTAGCAAAAACAGAAGAAATGTATGTTTGTTTATTTTAAAACAAGACTTTCTCTGAATGCTCTGCACTGTGCATTAAATGCTCTTTAAGTTTTCGGTGTGTTTGACCTCTGGGTTTGCTGCATTTCCAGGCAGTGCTTCAGTACCTCTACACAGGCAGCCTGGACGAGAGTCGAGGCGATCTGATGCAGGTGGCCACCATTGCAGAGCTGCTTGAGGTGTTTGACCTTCGGATGATGGTGGCCAACGTTTTGAACAGAGAGAGTTTCATGAACCAGGAGATCACAAAGGCCTTCCACGTCCGCAGAGCCAATCGAATCAAAGAGTGCCTCAATAAAGGGACTTTTGCTGGTAAACCACGTCAGCCACTCAATGCTGCAATTTTTTTTTGTGTAGCATTTGTGATTCTAAATGTGATGCCCCCCATGCTGCATCTGTCTCTTTGACTGATTCCTTCATAGTCATCATTTGACTTGATGACTGAGTGTTGTGTCAGTCTGCCTCTCTTGTGTTCGCTCTACCCCATACACTGTCTTATTTGTTTTGCGTTGTGTCTCCTTTTAGTGTCGTCTTTGCCTTTTCTGAACAAAACTTGACTTTCGTCTCTCTGTGCTGTCATTGTTCCGTTTCTGATCATAGTGATGATTGTTCCCATAGAACTCATATGAATTTTGATTGATTAAATTAAGAAGAATGTAACTGATTTTTCGGGACAACACAGCCCTCTCTTTACCAGACTTCTTAATTGTTCTGCTTAACCCACCACCCTGCGTTTGCTTTCCTTCCCATACAATGAGTGGAGAGCTGCTGCGTCTCCCTGTCAATTTATCTTTCTGTCTGTCTACCTGTGTCCATGTCTCTCTCTGTGTCTGTCTGGTCCTCTTGCTGCCTGTGTGTGCGTGTCTGGACGTCCGCCTCGTCTGTCTTTTCCTTTCTGTAGTTTGGGCTTCTGTGGCATTCCACGAGATGAACGCTCTTTTCCCACCCCGGTTTCAGATGTTGTGTTCCGGCTGGATGATGGCTGCCTCCCGGCTCACAAGCCCCTGCTCATATCCAGCTGTGACTGGATGGCCGCCATGTTCCGTGGCTCCTTCATGGAAAGCTACATCGAGGAGGTGAGATTGCCCAGCCAATACAGACCTTGGAGATATGGGTACTTTCAGTTTTGGAATGGAATGTGACTATATGTCTCCAATCCTAAATCCTGAAAAATTGACAAAACAGGAATGGAAGAATGGCCTTTATAAAGAAAAGGTCCTATTGACATTATGTTACCCTGAAGAACCAATAAAAAATTGAAATCAATTAAACTTATCTAAAACATAAACCTTATACCTATTCAGCCAATAGGAAATAATTAGCACCCTCTATGTAGCTTCTGTCAATAACAAGGTAAATCAAAATATAACTTTTAAAACCTATTCTGGTAATTTTTTTATTACCAGGTTATTGTTACAGATTGATAAAGAAGAGCCTCAGAAAACCTCTTTCACTCATGGAAAAGGTTGCTGCAGTTGAAACATGCCTTAGCTCACACAGAGGTATAGTACACAGCTTGTTACATCTGATTACATGTGGTAAAGGTTAAGGAGTTATTGGGGTTAGGTTAATATTTTTGATCACCTAAACCACACAGATGGTTCTCTATCAGATTGACCTACTAATCTTTGTTTCACTCCTGGGTGGTGTTAAAGGTCTGCAAATAACCATATCTCTCGATGACTTAGACAAGTAATGTCCAGAGATAAGAACTTATGAGTAAATGCATTTACACACAATTGACTGCTTTGGTTAGTCTTTATTTGACAAAAGACTTCAGATGCTGTTTTTTTTTCTACCTTAAATTAAACTGAGGCGCATGCCTCTGTGAAAATCTGTTTTACCAGGGTGAGAAAACATGCATAGCAGTATTTCCGACTTCCTGTTTCTATTCTCAGAAGATATCTTAACTCAATAAAAACCACAGACAAATTGAGGTCATGGGCTTTGTTTTTATGTAATGGTCTGAGAGCTTAATGTTGTTTATGTTTGCTGTTTTCTGTGTGAAGTGTCCATATTGTCAAGTTGTCATAGGTTAGCTGTATTTAGAAACATTGAGAAAATTACACAAAGGCTACAGAACAACGATAGCTTAAATGGGCTGTTTCTCTTAATACATCTTCATTGAAGAAGAGTACCTTCACTGACACCAATATTTCTCAGGATTTGTTACCTTATGTGTAACATAAGATGCAGCTTCTGGTAAGGCATGTGTGCCTGACCTAACCTCAAAGGAAGTTGAGGTCTGTCTTTAAGTTGAACTTTCAACTGTGTTATGCAACAAGATCTCACAGTCTCTTTTCAAAGACTGCCAGTTCAGGTTACAAGGACTCATGTTCAGAATAACTGCAAATAAATGTCAAACACTTTTGAATAATTTTGTTAAAGTTTAAAATGATAATGGAAACTATATATACAAAAAAAATCTGCTTAATAATAAGTAAATTGTGTATTTTTAGTTATGTATTTTACTTTCTGGAGTCATGGACTTTACTGTCAAATTATGATTTAATGTTAAAATGATTGTTAATAATAATATTAGTAATGCTAATGTTTTAGAGGGGCCCTGTCAGAGTCTTGTCTTGAGTCTGATAGAGAATCTGCAGAGGAAGTTAAGCTTATTGTGATCGGAAGGAAGCCTTGAAACATCACAGACTTGCAGACCAAAGATAAATATGCAAAATATCAATGGAAACATGCAAACAGCTGGTCAGGAATTAAAACAAATGCCAGAATGCCATAAATCATTTTCCATTTGTAGAATATTTGTTGACATGCAAGCATGTCAACAAGTATGAAGACAAAAACAGACAATTTTTTTAGTGGACCTTCTTAGTGAAATTAAATTCCTTTTAAATGTAAACGTATCAGGAGCATAAATAATTACTTCAGAGCTTAATATTATAGTCTATTTGCCGTAATGTATGTTGTGACGCTGAAAACATAATGTTTGAAATCAGAACGAGGCTGCCCACAAAACTTTATACATCAGTATCAGGCAAAAGTTAGCAATTAGAATGCATCCTGTTTGAGTCTGCTTTGTTGAAGCTTTAAACCACACACAAAAATAAATAGAAGCAGAAGTTTAAGACATGGTTACACAGTGCAGTTTCTCAACCCAGACACTCAAAATAACTCTGTTTTCAGTGCTGAACTGAAAGGGGGTCAATGTGTTGCGAATATGTTATGTCATATGAGTAACTAGAAATGGTGAAAGCTTCATGAACTGAACCCTTCATAGTCATCCTCAAAACTCCAAATTAAAACAATCTTCTTTTAAATGACAAATCAGCTGTTCGTCTCTTTGCTTAAACTACGAACTAATAAATGTGCTTTTCATTGGAAAGTGCGTGCCATTCATATTATTTGGTCGACACATTTAAACTTACAAATACGGATGTATGTCACAGTTTTAGCAAGTTAATTTAGGTCAGTAGCTGAAGCTGTAAAAACACTGCAGTCTTTACAGTCAAAACAAGCCTGTATCATCTACTTTGACTCATCAGTCCACTTCCTTATAGTCTTAACAACATACTGAGGTTTTTCAGTTTTTGCCTGTAGATTACAATGAGATGAAGTAGATAGTGATCGGAGAATCCTAAAGCTGTGTGAGGAACTGCACAGTTTGCAGCTTTGAAGACTTTGTAGCAGTGGTTCAGTGTGTTTGTCTCTCTTGGGTAGTTCATTTGAGAGGTTTGTGCTATTAAAAAATCCCCAAGAACAATAATGAGAGTCAGCCAAGTACCAAGGCAGCCATCTGTAGAGTCATCGTGTCGGTTATTATCACATTTATTTCTTTGTTCGTTCGCATCATTTGACCTGAATTTTTTAGTTGTTGCTTTGTTACTTTGCATCTCTAGGTCTCTGCGTATTAACATGTAATACATCTGCGTGTTAGTCTTGCCATGAATAGTTTTAAATTTAGCATGCAGTAAACTAATAATGGTGGAATTCTGAGAACAAAACACCGTTTGTATAGATTACAGCTCGTATTCGTATATGTCACTACGTCTGAGTCCATTCATTAATGCATTGCTTAGCTAGAGCTTTAAACTATAGACACTACCTTTCTCTGGGACGAGAGACCGCACCATGCTGGCATTTTCTTAATTGTTTATGAGAGTGGAGACTGTAAAGTGACAGAGTGGGTAGACTCAAAGACCTCTTGGGGAGGTCATTCTATCATAATGGTTCACTTTCCTTCTGTTTTCTGGGGCTATTGCTTCATTAGCTGCTGATGAATTGGTTACATGTAATGTAATGAAACTGTGACAATAGATCCTTTTCAGAGGAGCGTATAGTATATAATGAACAAACATGCACCACAAGGACTGAGAACCATTGTGACCTTCTTTTTGCAGCACTTCATTGCGTTGCATTTGCATTGCATGGAATTGCATTAATGTACAAAATTTTACAGCTGACCCCCATCTTCTCTTGCTGCTATTGCATTATAGGTATCGATTCCTAACACCAGTACAGCATGTATGCATGGAGTGCTTGAGTTCCTGTACTGTGGTCTCCTGACACCGTGTCCTGGATTGGAGCCCATGGAACTAATAGTTCTGGCCAACCGTCTGTGTTTGCCACGACTCGTTGCCCTCACTGGTAAGTATTACTGTGTGGGGTGCTGTAAACACAGCAGAGTCTAAACTTCACTCTCTTCTTTGTTCCCTACCAACTGCATGCAACTGAGCATTGTTTTATTGTTAAGATTCACATTTGTAGACCTTAATTTTCTAACTTTTAAGAATAATGAAAACCTTTACCTCTATGTAGTTTAAAACGAAGGATTACAGAATTACGTGTCAGTGGTGCATGCAACTAGAAAATACTTTATTCTCTTTAATTTTTTGCCTCTTCAGAGCAGCATGCTGTGGATGAGCTACTGCAACTGGCAGTGAAAGGAGTGGACATTGATGGACAGGTGCTAGCTTACCTTGAAGTTTCACAGGTGAGTTTTGACATAAAATTGCATTTACGTAGACAATAGTTCGCGGTCCTGTATGGTGAACCAGTTTGTATTCATTTCATACAGACATACATTAGTTTTTTATTTCTTTTGAACAGTAATACTTTCTCTTTTTTTTCTTCTCACAGTTCCACAATGCCAAACAGCTTTCTGCTTGGTGTCTTCATCACATCTGCACCAATTATAATAGCATCTGCCGCAAGTTTCCCAAAGACATGAAGGCTATGTCTCCAGGTACGCTGCAGTCAACTTGCCCTCCTGTGCCTTGTTGCCTTCCTCTCTAAAGTCCATTTCATTACTTTTCTGTCATTCTGCAATTTTAGTTTCAACCAAAATGTAGAATTCAATTTCTCTACATTCGGGAATTTTATTAGCCTGGTACCTTAAACCAGTCACAAATGATATTTGCACCAACGGCATTTTTTGAGGACAAATTTGCATTCTGTCTCGCAGAAAACCAGAGGCACTTTGAGAAGCAGCGTTGGCCTCCGGTGTGGTTCTTGAAGGAGGAAGACCGCTACCTGCGTTCTCAAAAGGAGCGTGAACTCGAGGAAGAGATCCTGCGCAAGCAGCACACCAAACGGGGCTGGTGCTTCTGGAGACACCCGTCTTCCTCTCCACACGTCTCCTAAGGGGTTTTCTACGTCTAGCTCTTGGATCTTCCCCTCGGCGGACGCTAACCCGCGGATTAGCAAAGACAGAGGAGAATGGTTGTGATCCCTCTATCGGTGGAGAAATTACTCTCAGTGCTAATATTCCTGAATGTCTGCATGCTCGGGAGGAGTGTATGTGCCTCTTGGTGGGAGTGGGTCGCCACACGACTGTGTTTTGGTGGTGGGACGGATCGGGACTCAACAGAAAGGGGTATTTGCATGAATGTGTGAGTGTATGGAATATAGTGATGCTTCCAAGTTGAGATGCAGTGGTCTCTAAAAGGACAATGGCGGTGCAGAGCAACCCTTCCTCCTGTACGTAAATGCTTTTTCTCCCTCTACCAGCACCCGATTGCCTTGGAGTGTTGGGAACTGGAAGCAAGGGCTCTCTTTTCTCTCCGTTTTCTCAGTCTTCAACCTTCACATCGACCTTAATAACTTTTACACATTTGACACTGCAGCTCCCTTTGGCGAGTGGGGGAGTCTACGTTTGCCTTCACCTCTTATACAGACTGTTTGCTAGCACATGCAGATGCATCTCCACATTTCACCCTTGTGAAACCAGCAGTAGATACAGGAACTAACTCAGACAATTAGCTCATTATTACTTGTCTTTTAATCACTTAATGTGCATTTTGGGGCAATTTGGGAGGCTATTATTAGTAGGGTAAAAAAGCAAAAACCTCTGACAAAGTCAGAAATCACCACTGCAACCACAAATGCAATCCTTCTATTGTATTCTCAACTAGATAAAGAGTTGAGAAAATAGACATAAATTATCTACCAGTCAGTCCTCATATCTCTTTTGTCATGTAACTCTGCACACCATCTTTCTGCACTCAACACTTATTTTCAAAATGTTCATGGAGACTGACATGGAGCCACTCTATAGCACTGATATATTTTTTGTTTGTTTTTTTTAAAGGGCTAGCCTTACTTAATACCTCTGTCGTGAAGGGGAAATTTAATACAGCATTAAATGTCCTTGGCCACTAAGGTGCATTGAACCATTGGAGCAAGCCTTTACACCCGTACACCACCAGGGGTCGCACTGCTCAGGGTCCTATCACTTCCGTAGTAGGAGTTTTATTGTATTTATCAACTATATTAATTTTTCCTTGCAGAGTGTTACAAAAGTACACACACTAGTTTGCTAGTGGATTTAAAATAATGGATACTTAAAAGGGTTTTCAGCTGATTCTGAATACCAAAGGTGTAGTTCTTCCCTTTATTTTTGTTTATTTACATTTTCTAACTTGGGAGGGGCTGTAGTAGAAACTAGAACAAGTTTTAGAAGCAGAAGGCAGTATTAGATGCTTGTTACAAGTAGAGCCGGCCCAAGGGGTAAGCAAACTAACCCGCTTAAAACTTCTTATTTATAATGACTTTTGAAATTGGGAGGTCAGATCTCAAAAAAAAAAAAAAAAAGTTTAAATTACCCAGAAAAAAAAAAAAAACTTGATATGTGCAACTCTAGTTATATTAACAATCCTAATTTAACTTCAGTATTCTCTACTTATTTACATTTAATATTTTTGCAGATAAATCTGGATAATTAACTGCCATTATTCAGCGACTACTTGTGAGAACAACCTTTAAAGGGTTATGCAGAAACACCCGCCCTACCCAATGGGCTGGCTCTGGTTGTAAGGACTAATGATGGTCCATTTAAAACATTGCCTTCCGTTCTCTGCTAGGATTAAACATTGGTGCTGAAAACAGTGTCCACATGAACACAGAGACACACATAGTTTAGGAGACTGTCTGATGGTTTATTTATTTGTGCAGAACTTACAGAAACTTTAGAATAATTTTTAAATTTTATGAACTTGATTTTGTTTTTTCTATTCACAGAGTCTGTAAAAAACTGATAAAAGATTTTAGAGGTTGAGGTTTTCTCTAAATCCTGGGATGTCTTTTGCTGCTTTTTTATTCTAAACCAATGTGACGTATTCCTTCTTTCTTGCCAACACATTTCTTTAGATTCATTTTTGTTGTTGTTTCACCAGTTTGAGCAAATAGGGTTTTCTCATTTAGGGTGCTAATTCTTTGGGCTTTCATTTGAATGTGGAAAAAAAAAAAAAAAAAAAAAAAAAAAAAAAGTTGCAGCTGTGAGTTTTTATTAGCACGTTTTCTATTTGTGGGTTTGCGCCCCACAGCTTTACCCAGGCAAACTCTCTGCGATGGGTAGATTGTGTGAGGCATGTGGTACATTATGCTGTTGATCCACAGGAGGTGTGCAAAGCAATTTTCAACTACCAGAATAGAAGTCGCATAGGTTCTCACTTGGCCCGAGTGAGAATTGAGCTGATTTAGTGTGAGAACGAGGAAACTGAGTAAAAGTGAGCAAGCCTCAGTCAGCGTCAGTCACTTTCCACACGCCGTGGAATGATTCCGTCAACATTTGAAGTTGCACCACTGCAGTGCTGTAGGAAATTTAAAAAAAAGGAATTTGGCTTCCCCACAGACTCGTTAGACAGATCTTGTGTCCTTGTGCCTTATGATTCAATCTGCAGACTGGTTCTGCAGTAACCGGCATGGTAGTGGTAGGATTCAATGATAATGTCAGAAATGTAAAATGTTGTTTTTTTGTTGTTTTTTTTTTGGTGTTTTTATGGGCTCTCTGCCACTGTCTTTTTGAAATTTGAGGGAGAGAAATTTTAAGCCAGCCTGAGCCTTGCAAATCTGTAGGTATGATATTTATGCAGATAAATGATCCTTTTTATTTCTCCAAACAGCAATTTGAGACAAGGTTGTTCTAATGAAATGGCTTAACACTAGATATACAGCGTCCTCCACAATTATTGGCACCCCCGGTAAAGATCTGTTCAAGATCCTTTTACAGACCCTCAGAAAAACTTAGAAAGTAGGATTTACAAAAAAAAAAAAAAAGAGTGTTTTCAAATTTCTTATATATGTATTCACACTGTGGTATTTTTTTGTCCTTATTAATTCAGTTTACTTATATTCACTATTTTGTAGTGAGAGATTATGTTACATCAATTAATGAAAAGGCTTTTTGATGCAGAGGTACCAAAACTTGAGTAGGATGCTGTTCCATTACAGTTATTATGTTTCTTTATAAACCAAGTGATTAAAAGGTAGCCAGTTAATTAACATGGATGTTTGACTCCTGCAGTATAACTTCTAAACCACTGACTGTGAGAAGCTAAAGCTTTGTGAAATGCACCGGCGGGCCTGTGCACTGGGTGGGTGCAACATCTTGTGGAGTGCAATGAACTTGCATGACGTCCAGACTTTGTTGGTGTGACTTTAAAATGCAATTTGTGTTCTATGTGTTTCTGTAGTTGGCATGAATTTCTCCCTTAAATAAGATAGTTTCTAAGCCGTCTTATTTGACTGTAGCATGAAATTTCCACTTAAGTTATTAACATTTTATTTAAAGGTTGCGCTCCGAGAAGCTGAATAACATTTAGTGTCTTGAAGGTCTTTTTGGCATTGGAACCTATCAAGGTTCTTGTCTTTGTAAGTGACTTTATTCACATGTCTTTGACAACTCAATGTAGCATTAAAGCATTTAGCATTTGCATTTTTAGGGTATAATGTGAGGAGATCAAAAGACATGAGCTTGAAATCTAATTTAGAAGATCTGTTTGATGCCACAGACGTCCCCTTGTTATGCTGTTACTATTAACATAATGAAATGAGGTTAATCTTGTGATTTAAATTTTTTTTTTTGATGGTTTGGGTATTAAAGTGAATAAGTATACGCAAAGCATTTCATGTTTCTAAACAGCTTGCATGTATAGGTGAATGAAATGTGCAAAGTAAAAGCTTCCTAGGTGACAGATATGTAGACGTTTGATTTTCTGGAACTTTTGTTATTGGGGCTTTAATTGCAGTTACTAAACACCTTGATGAAGATGTGGGAGTTTTTATTGTATACAAAAAAAAGAAAAAAGCACGTGATGCCAACAAGCCAAAGTTACATGTTCTCACATTTTGATATTGGATGTATTTTCTTCATATTGTTTTTTTTTTTTTTCTCCCTCTGTGTCTCATCCTTGGGGCACTTCTTCCTACTTTTCTGGCTGGTATCCCTGCTTCATTGTGAGGCCTGGTGACGGAGAGAGCACCTCACAATAATTTGCTTGCTTTGGTGTCTCCTCTCTTGTGCCTTCAGTGAAACCTCACTTTCAGTTCTATACAGAATGACAGCAATGCACCGATAGCCATCTGAGCTCATGTGTTTGTCTGTGAAGCCAAGAAACATACAACACATTAACGTAAAAGAGAGTAGCTTTTTTTTAAGATTAAGCGTCTTGGATAATAAATGAGTTGGCTTCCTGTTATGTTAAGTAATTTAATAACTTTAATCAATAACCTGAAGAGCTTAACATGTTTAATGTGTATTGTCATCTATGCTAAAGCTGCACCACAGGTGACTTGAGTGCTGAAACAAGTAGGAAACTAGCAGTTTCTGCTGCACTCTTCCAGGTGCCTGCTCCTTCTCTTGTGTAGCCTAACAATAACTTTTGTATTCTCTCTATATACTCATCTCGATCAGCGTTAAGATACCGTGTTCTGTTTTTCGCTCTCTCCAAGTCAAATCCAATTATTGCTTCCACTGTTTATCTGCCATTTTATATTGCAATCACACATAGTATCATTTCAGTTGAAGCCTAACAATAGGCTGGATTAAAAGCAAAACTATTAGCTGTGATAGCTATATGTGTGCTTTTATGAAGATGGGGATTATCCAAAGTACAGCAAAACGTTGTAAATTTGATCAATTCCAGCTGAAAGTAACTTCTCACCTTTTTAAGTGCACAGCACACTGTATTAACTGAGTTAGACTGTAAGTAGGAATGTATGAAGTCAGTTATATTGACAGACTTGCTGTAATTTACTCCCGGTCGATACTGTAATTGTAAGTGGATTGTATCTATGGTATAGTATTGTTATGCACTTTTGTTTCCATGAACTCTTATGGGTGTTATTTACAGTCAGTGTTTATGTTATGTTATAAAAGTTAAAAAGAAAAGAGCACACCACACTCATGTTATTAAGGGCTTTGACATAAAAAAGAAAAAAAAAGAACTGAATGTTTTTGCTGCTGTTGCAAAAAAGTTTTGAGACTAAAAATTTTGTAACATTTTTAAACCACTGTGATTTGTACAAAATAAAAAAAAAGAAATACAGAAAAACATTTTTTTTCTGCCATTTCAGTATTTTGATGTTTGACTTGAATTTTATTAAATCTGTTAATCTTTTAAAAAATGTCTTGTGTGTCGTAATTGTGTGATTTTTAAAAAAAAATTTTTTATCAGCGTCCATTTTAGTTTTAAATATATATATATATATATATATATATATATATATATATATATATATATATATATATATATATATAACAAGTAATACTTTATATTACTATATTTATAATATTTATAACAAAGTTTATACTTGAACCAGTTTTGAAATGGTTCACAATCTTCTGACAGAATGAGCTGAATTAATTTAAACTTGTTGGTTTACCGCAAACTTTCATTTGCAGTAAGGCTGGAACTCTCAGAAGCGTAACAATGGGCTGTTTTATCCATTCATAAACCTGTCTAAATGTGTATTTGAGGTTCTTAGGCTATTGGAAACATCAAATTTGTACTGGTTTTAACCACGAGATGCAAATTGCCACCATTTTAGCAGGACGACCACACAAAACATACAGCAAGAACTAGAATAAAATGGTTTGGATCAAATGTTGGAATGGTCTCAGTCCAAATTTAACTAAGAACCTGTGGCAGTATCCAACACTCGTTGGAGTAACTGCTTCTATCTCCAGCAAAGTACCTCCTGCTGTGAAGAGCACGTGGGAAGAGAAAGAGCTGAAGAAGTGTGAACCAAATTTTCAGCTGACTTTCTTTAAATCTAGTTAAGGTCTGTGTGTTGGTACGAGGGAACTAGAAAGGTTTAGCTATAATTGTGGCGGTTTCTCTGCTGAGGTATAAATGTGTGCGGTTCCACTAAAGCACATGGCATAAACTAGTGTTAATAAAAAGTCAAAATAAAAGGCAAACGAAATACTTTTTTTTAAAACCACAATTATTCTGTTTTTTGTTTTTTTTTCCCCTCCAGTTTATCACTACCCTAAAGCATTAAGCTTCACACTCAGGAACACTAAGGTTGATGCAGCTTTGCCACCTTGTGGCGAAAAAGGAGCCATGCAGCCGCCGTGTGCAACGTCGAAAGAAAAATAACAGAACTCGAACTACTAATTTAAAACGACATCTTGTCCTGTTACATATTATCAAAGGAAAAGAGAGAGAGAGAGAGAGAGAGAGAGAGAGAGAGAGAGAGAGAGACGCGTGTATCCAAAAGATCAACACACTGGGAGCTGTAGGTTTTAATTACGCAGATAAAAGGATCACACACACACACACACACACACACACACCCACAGCAACATGGGGGATGAAGTTGCAATGACGACATTTAGTGATGTGGCTGATAATTGATACTTTCAAAGGGTCATTGGGGAAGGTAGCGCCACAGAGCAGAAGAATATTTGAGTGTAGGTGCTATTTTTACATGTGTCCGTTACAGCCACGCCAGTTTTCCTAGGAAAAATGCACTGGTCCGAAGTTAACAAGCTGACTTTTACTAGACGGTGACGTGCATCAGTTTCCCTTTGATTCCCCTGTTAAATAGGCAATCAAATATCCCGGTTGTAGCCAGCGCCGTGGTCGCCGCCATCAGTTCAGCGCTGATTACAGACCTCTCGGCAGAGCAAGTCCGAGTCGCGGACTGTGTTCAAAATTCCCACAAAACCTTGCCCCTGCTCGCAGCGCGCAGCTTTGGGAGTCACCGAGAAGAGCTGACATCACCACATCTGGATGTCATTTCCTTCGCTTCTCCTTAGAAGCAGATAAAGTAGAGTCGACGTAAATGTACGAGCGCTCGTTCACTGTCGGGATTTGTCGATCAGCGGAAAAATTTGGCTCTGAAGGAGCTGACGGAGGATTCGTCGCAATCTTGACATCTTAGAGCGAGGATCTACATGAATCCATCACCGTTACATTTTTAATTTTTTTTTTAAATTTTTGTCCACATTAAGAAGCTAAAAATGTTCATGTCTTTGGAGGTTTACAGTCTAAAATGGTCAAACACACCAATATGGCAGCAGGCTACTAAATGAAAGCGCCACACTGCATAATGTGCAGCATATTGAAGCAAACATCACTCCTCTAACCATACATAATGTCTTTTATTAAGATTTTACATTATATACCAACACAATCTGGCACATTTCGTGCAGTGGGAAGAAACTGATACATGCTTTTAAAGATTTTTTACAAATAACAAACTAGAAAATTATTCCTTTATATCCAGTCCAATTTCCTATTAAGTCACACCTAAATAAAAAATAGTGAAACCATCTTCCTTCAGAAGTCACCTTCCAAAATGTTATGCATGG